TGTTTTAATGCACTTTGAAACATCCCGTAGGTATATCAGCGTATTTTAAATATGAATTTTGATTTTAGTAGTTTCAAGTAGGGAAATACTTTGCAAATTATAGTAAAATCAATCTTGAATATTACATCAAAATCCAGTTCACATTTAAGATGTTTACTTGAAACACTTGTAGCCCTTGTTAGTGTCTAGTATGGGAGAGAGTCGTTTACCACAGTATTTTTTCATTTTTAATCTAAATGTTGTACTGTTCTATTAAAACTTTATACACACTGTGTTGCTGTAGGCACTGATACATTTTATAATGTAAACTTAGGTTTCTTACTGAAATCTTAGTGAAATCTAGAGTCTCCACTCACACATGTCCAAATACCTGGACAAGGTAATCCTGCGTTGTTCAAGTAAAGGAAGTTGATTTTGATTGCCCTGTGACTTTGTTTTTGTTTGTTTGCTTGTTTTTCCTTAATAAAACTGGGATGATCCACATCTAGCTTTCCACATGGTCTTGTCTGAGATGATCTGGGAACTTAATCCACCCATTTTGCTGTATTTCATAGTCAAATCAAAGCTTGAGATCTGGCAGGGACATCTTCGGTCAGAAATGCAGCAAACTACTTCCTTCACTGGTGGAGCAGGCTCCTTTAGGCTAGCAAAATTCCTACTTTCTCTGGAGTTTCAAGGCATTTTCTGTGCTTCTTGAAGCTCTAATATTTTTGTCTAATTTCCAATGTGATATTAGTTATGTTCCAATAATGTTCACTTGTATTTTTGGCCAACATTATTCTTTAAATGATAATTCTTCCCTGTTTCTGACGTTTAACATAGCTGTTCTAGAGAGTTAATGTCAACTCCTTTTGGGGTTTTGATAAATTAAAAACAAATCAGTCTCAGAAGATGAATGAATGGCAGGAGTCTGAGGCTGAGTAATCTAACATCTCAGTGCTGCAGGGGAAGCACTTTTACATTCTGCTAGTAGTGAGCTATTAAGTTGGCTAAGTCATCTCCTGGAAGGCATGCTAAGGCACATGAAAAACAACAAGGTGCTTGGTGACAGCCAGCATGGCTTCACTAAGGGGAAATCCTGCCTGACCAATTTGATGGCCTTCTATGATGGGGCTACAGAACTAATGGACAGTGGTAAAGCAGTTGTTGTCATCTACCTGGACTTGTGTAAAGCATTCGACACTGTCCCACATTACATTCTTGTCTCTAAAATGGAGAGACATCAATCTGATGAATGGACCAGTCGGTGGATAAAGAACTGGCTGGATGGCCGCACACAAAGAGAGTTGTGGTCAATGGCTCAATGTCCTTCTGGAGACCAGTAACGAGTGGTGTCCCTCAGGGATCGGTGTTGGGACTGGTCTTGTTCAGCGTCTTTGTTGCTGACATGGACAGTGGGATTGAGTGCGCCCTCAGCAAGTTTGCTGATGACACCAAGCTGTGTGGTTCGGTTGATACGCTGGAGGGAAGGAATGCCATCCAGAGGGATCTTGACACACTTGTGAGGTGAGCTGATGCCAACCTGAAGTTTAATCATGACAAGTGCAAGGTCATACACCTAGGTTAGAGCAATCCCAGGCACAGCTGCAGGTTGGGCAAAGGAAATTCAGAGCAGCCCTGGGGAGAAGTACTTGGGGGTGTTTGTCAGTGAGAAAATGAGCATGAGGCGGCTGCAGTGTGAGCTTGCAGCCCAGAAAACCAACTGTATCCTGGGCTGCATCAACAGGAGCGTGACCAGCAGGTCGAAGGAGGTGATCCTGCCCCTTTATTCTGCTCTCGTGAGACCTCACTTGGAGTACTGTGTGCAGTTCTGGTGTCCTCAACATAAAAAGGACATGGAACTGCTGGAACAAGTCCGTAGGAGGGCCAGGAGGATGATCAGGGGACTGGAGCACCTCCCATATGAAGATAGGCTGAGAAAGTTGGAGCTGTTCAGCCTGGAGAAGAGAAGGCTGTGTGGAGACCTTCCAGTATCTGAAGGGGGCCTGTAAGGATGCTGGGGATGGACTCTTCATTAGGGACTGTAGTGATAGGACAAGGGGTAATGGGTTAAAACTTAAACAGGGGAAGTTTAGATTGGATATAAGGAGGAAATTCTTTCCTGTAAGGGTGGTGAGGCACTGGAATAGGTTGCCCATGGAGGTTGTGAATGCTTCATCCCTGGGAGTGTTCAAGGCCAGGTTGGATGAGGCCTTGGGTAATATGGTTTAGAGCGAGGTGTCCCTGCCCATGGCATGGGGGTTGGAGCTTGATGATCTGGAGGTCCTTTCCAACCCTAACTATTCTATGATTCTATGATTCTATCTCATGAAACTCTGATAAATATGTGAATAGTTAGGGCTTTTTGAATAACTATTGTGACTTTCCACAACTGTGAGCATTCACCTTTGGCATCCATCTAACTGGAAGGTATGAAAGTGTTTGGAAGTAGGTTGGCTGTAATAACATAAGTCTCTAATGTTCTTGCTTTCCTGTTTGGGATTATTTCTTTTGCCCTGTGCTTCTCTGCTAATCATTGGTATTTTTAGAGAAAGTAGACTTGTATTCCTTCTACTTCACAATTTCTAATACTTCAAAAGCATAATTTCTCTCATATACTAGAACTTAATCTCATATGGTCTCACCAGTGAAGGGTGAATTGAGTAGGGTGTGGATCAAGATTTTCACAATTTTATCTTTTAAGTATAAAAATAAATCAGGGTTACTGATTTACTTCAGAGTTCTCTGAGATCTCATCAGTTACTGTCTACAAGAAACTGCATCTTTAGAGTCTGTATTTGTGGTTGAGTGCAAGTTTGTGCTGCTGTATTGGGGTTTGGAGATGGGTGAGGATGTGTTTGGAGACAGGTGTATGCTGTAGGGCAGGCTGTGACTGGATAGAGTGCGATGGGTGATAGAAGTGTAAACCTGCAAGTTGTTCCTTTTAAGTTAGTAAGGGAACGCAGCTTATCTCTCAGTTAATCTTAGTGTTGGCAGAACAATGTGGTACAGGGAAGAACAGAAAGAGAAGAATGAAGAAATCCTTCCTCTTTCAGCACAATTCACTTTATGACCTCTTTAACACACCTGATCCATTGAACCACTTCTTTACTGGCAAAACTCCACAATATTGCTGTACAGTGAGTCTGCAGAAGACAGACTAGACTGATGTATATGTAGCTCACTTCCAAAAGAGAGAAATCCCATCCTGATTTCATCCCTCTTTTGCATTGTTTCTGGTGTGCTTTGAGTCCTGAATGAATTAGGGTCAGTAATCCAGTACAAGTCTAGCCCATCAAAGGATGAGAAAACAGTAGGTGCTTTTCTGCTGATCTGAGTGCTGGAACCAAAGAAAGGAAATGGGTAAAGTGCTTTCCCCAGAGTCTGGGAGACCAGGAAGAATAAGATACTCTTGTATCTAGGAGTTTAGCTGTCCTGTTTCACCATGCTTAGAAATTGTTTTTTGCTAGGTAAACAAAAAAATTAAGTCTTACTGTAAGACAAGCACACAGATGTGGGTGAGCAGGAAATAAACAGGGTAAGCCTCACAGGAGCTGATAAATGATGGATCATTTTAGACAGTTTCTTTGTGGTTTATCCTGTAGATTTTATGGCACTGTAGTATTGCAAAACTTCTGTGAAGAGCATGGATCTTTGTGGTAGCCGAAAATTGTACTTGCATGTAGCTGTTAAAAGGGTTAGTTATTATACACTGTTTATCAGGTACTGCCTTGGTGTAGTGGTCACATAATTATCAACAAACGGGTTACTTGCAGTGATCCACTGGATTATGCTGTAGAATTGGATTACCAAGATTATGACTATTTCTAACTGAAGTACATAGATCTTAGAATTGTGTTTAGGGAAAAAAAAAGAAAAAAGCAGCAAGGAAATGTCTTCTATCCTAAACATTCTTTAATAATAGAATAGCTTTTTTCAAGTTTGAAACTACCATGTCTTTAGAAAGGTTTTTAATGATGTGACAATGCTTTGTCTGTAAACTAGTAACAACCATGTATATATTCCAGAGTCTAGTAATGGTGTGTGAAAGTCAATGTGGTTATGTTGGGATGTGTTTTAGGGACACTGAACTCTGCTGGAAAAAAAGTTCCAGGACTTCAGCTTTCAGCTTTGGTTTTAACTAGTAATAAAATGTGTGGAGTACCTGAAGTGCTTCAGAATTGGCAGAGACCACAAAGATGAACCTGGGGTGAAGTTTATGTTAAGTATGTTTGGAATTTGGAGATGCAGGATGAGCAGTTAACTGCAGTCCAGAGAACAAGTTAATATTATGTATCCTCCCAATTTCATTAATACCCTTTTAGTAGGGATCTGCAAGTGTGGATATAGCACAGTGACTAGAATCCATCCCTGGTAGTTAAGTAATAGGTTCTGTTTTGTCTGTTTACATTTTGAAATTCAGTGCAAATTACAAAGACTAAGACTGCATAATGCTTTGTGGTTCTGTTTGAAGACTTGGGAGAGCTCAATCAGTCTAGTGGCAAACCCACATTTTATGCTTCATCATAAAATTAGCAGTAATGAATTGCTATATTGATACATCAGTATTGAAGCTGAAACTCGTTAGCTGGCAGAAAGTGCTTTTGGCAGTTGTACACTAAATTGGAAGTACGAAAAGAGCTTTTGAGGCTGATAGCTTTTAAAAGCAGAAGAAGGTGACATATTCAGTTGGTAGTGAGAGTTTATGCTGTTAGTGAATAATCTAGTGTTAAAGAATTTGTGAGGAAAAAACTATAAAGGCAAAAGTTCTTTGGAAAAAGCTTTGGCGACATCTTACTGTATGCAAATAGGCAAAAGACAGTTAAGTAGCTTTATAGTTAGGTAGGTGAGACTAAAAAGGCTGGAATATTTTTGAACAGGATGAATCTTTAAACTGAAAATACTAATTACACTCCTAAGCAGTAAAAAGACCCCCTGTTTCTGATCTAGGTTTTCTGGGTAATTTTTTCACATTTCTGTGGTGGACTGATCTTTTTTTTATCCTTTTTTCTTTTCTTCAGAAATACCGCTACCAGGATGAAGATACACCTCCACAGGAGCACAGCTCTCCACACATTACCAATGAGGTGACGGGTCCAGAGCTGGTTCATGTATCAGAGAAGAATCTGTCACAGATTGAGAATGTCCATGGGTTTGTTTCCCATTCTCATATTTCACCAGTAAAGGTAGGCATTTTTAAAGTTTAAGGGTGAACTCTTTTCATTCACTCTCCAGGAATATAATTTTGTAGAGAAAAATATGCATGAAATACACACCTGCTTCTCTTGTGGAACTGCTCTTCTGTAAAATTCACTGTGTAGGCAATTAAAGTGTTGACTTAGTTGTACATGTCCTGAGTAAACATGACTGGTAGTAAACTGCCGAGATGACAGTGTAGGTAACTTAAGGTCTTGGATGTAGTTTTGAGGGACACTACAGTTACTGCTGTAAGTTATGTTTTGGGTTTTCTATCAGCATCCTGTAGAATCAATTCTGAGTTTTCTTATAAACATTTTCATTGAGGACCTGGGTAGAAAATGTAGTAAGCCAAGGATAATACATATCTCTGAAGATTTTCAGCATACAGCACCATTATACTTAAGACAGCTCTAGTAACTTAAAGGCAGATTTAAAAAGAACAAACTGCATGTGAGATTTTGGAGGGGGTTGTAGGAGGCAATTTTATTTACTGGCTTAGTAGTGAAATGGAGCTTAATCACTTTCTGAATAGTGTAGTATTTTAGTGTGCCAGACTAAATGCTGTTTTGTATAACACCTCTGAGTCTTTATGGCTTGTTTTCAAGAAAAACTGGGGAAATGGTTTGCTACCAGTGAGCATTTGGGCTTTAGAATGATGAGATGGGTTTACACTGTGTTAAGCTTATAGCTTGGTGTTTTTATTCTTACGGATTTTGGGGGTGTGGTAGATTCCTTTGTGACTGAAATTGGCAGTGTATTGTAACAAGTGCCACTATAATTTAAGAAAAATGTCGTTTTGAACCTAGTTACGTTCCAGATGCATTCATTTTTTTATTGTGAAGAGAATTCTGCTGAATGTATCAGCTCTGTAATTCACTTGTAAGGATTCTATAAAGGAACCAATGGTAGCAGGCGAGTGTGTTTAGCAGTTGTGATCCAGCTTTTCTAAAATTTTAAAAATGTATATGTAGGTAATGAACAGTTATTTATTTTTACTTTTAACTCCATAATGAACTCTTTGTGTTTCTGTAGTCTTTAGGAGCTAAAATAGCTGAATTGTTTAAGCCCTAATGAAAAATCCTTTTGCAGTGAGCTCTGTTAACCTCTGAAGAGCCTTCTAAGAATAAGAATTCTTAGAATTCTTCTAAGAATAAGGCCTATAGGGATGGTGGGGAGGGATTCTTCATTAGGGACTGTAGTGATAGGACAAGGGGGTTTGAACTTGATGATGTTAAGGTCCTTTCCAACCCTAACTATTCTGTGATTCTATGACAAGGGGTAACGGGTTAAAACTTAAACAGGGGAAGTTTAGATTGGATATAAGGAGGAAATTCTTTCCTGTTAGGGTGGTGAGGCACTGGAATAGGTTGCCCATGGAGGTTGTGAATGCTTCATCCCTGGCAGTGTTCAAGGCCAGGTTGGACGAGGCCTTAGGTGATACGGTTTAGTGTGAGGTGTTCTTGCCTATGGCAGGGGGGTTAGAACTAGATGATCTTAAGGTCCTTTCTAACCCTAACTATTCTATGATTTTATGATTTTGAGAACAGTTGGGATCTCAACCTTCTGTTGCCTTTTAAAGTAGACACACAATTAACACACTTTTGTGTGTGTCTAGTTTCCTGAATTTATTGATATTCAGAAAGTAATGCAACACATTTTGTGTGCAGCCATTAGAAATAAAAAAAAACAAAAACAAGTCTGCCTCTGGGGGCTTAGGGACAGCTCTGTTTATTCACAAGCTCTTCTTAATTTATAGCACAGTTAGTCTTGCGTTTCAGAAAGCATAGAGAGATCAAAAGGGCAAAGAGGCAAACTGTCCATAATAACCCATCACATATAACACACTTCGCAATCTAGAAACTCATATAAATAAAAAATAAAATTCTAGAATGGGCTTCTGAGACTGAAAATCATTTTCTTGGAACTGACGAGGTATTACTTCTTTATACTTGTACAAAAGAATTGTACTTTTAATCATGTTTAAAGGGCTGCAGTTACTTTGATTTCTTTCTGGCTGACTGGATCTCAGGGAAACCAAACTACTCAGAATAGTTCCTGTTTGACTTCAGATTATTTTTGCAAATAGACAACTACAGAAGTACAAAAATAAGGATTTGATATTGGCAGTATTAATATTCCATGGAAATTGACTTAATTTCTTACTGTCTGCAGTGTGAATGATCTCTAGCGTACAGAGACCCTACCAGGGGTCTCCAAAACAAGTGAGGCTTGTGTTTAGAGTGTTACATGGAACCCTGAATTGCCTGTTCTAGTTTAGCTTTCTTTAGCTGTTGTAACTTTCTGTAAGGACACTGATGTAAAACCCAGAACAATTTTACAGAAATCAGCGTGGATGACTGTACTGTGCCTTACTCTGCTCAGATGTGATCTAAGTGGAATTTTGTTTTTTTTTTTTTTTAATTTTCTTGGGGTATGTTAAATGTACAACTCTGCTGCACCATTCTAGAAGAAAGGAACCACCTCTCATTTAAAGTGTTGTGGAAATAATGTTAAGCAATGTGTAAATATAATTACAAAGTATGGTGAGGTCTTGTCAAAATGCTGTGTATCTAAGGTCTCTGAGGAGGATTACTATTATCTGTCTGAAATGTGTAAGTGCTAGGAAATACCACTGGATAGGAAAGAATGTGTGTATGAGAAATACCACCATGCAACTGATATTACCGTTTATACCATACATCTGATTATTTTCACGTGACTTCTCTTTTTATTATTTTTATTTTTATTTTATTAATTTAAAAGCAATCTGGTAGAAGTAAAATTTCCCAGAGCTTTGTTCATCTGAAAACTGGGGTGTGTGCTCCAGGTTTCATTTGTTCACCAGCTTTTTTGTGGAACTTTGAATTCTGGTATGAAGTTGACTGCTGGCTTGCTTCTCTTCTGAGGTCAACTTTTTATAAATCACTTATAATTAGAGTCTGAGATCCAAAGGTATTTGGAGTGAGGGGTGCATCCGTAGTTTCGTAGGCCCTGGAATCTTCATGGGAACTTTTTAGAGCAAAATGCCTTTTTTGCTCACAAAATTTCTTTTTGGTTAGCAAATGGTTTGCTGAAGTTACTGAAATAAAGGCTGTTAAGTCTTGAGTATGTCAGAAAAAAACCCAAGGTTGCTGTTGTATCATTAGCTTAGCTGGTCCTCTTCTTTTGGCTTCATGATCTGCAAGATTTTCATAGTTTTGGCATAGCTCTTGCTGAAGATGAGTTTAGTAACAACAGTTCTGTAATTAATTTGTGTAATTCATTGGTAGGTTGGCTTGGTGTGCTATGTAGGGATCGGGTCTTGGCTAATATACAAGACCTTGATTAGCTTTATTCAATAGTATATTTGCTCATGGAAACCAAATGTTGATAGAATGTGTTATGTTTATTACACCCATGAGATAATGAGAAGATTTTTCTAAAAAAAAAAAATTGATGTGAAATAAATTTGAAATTTTAATTTGGAGAACAAATTGTAGACTGTAGTTATATGATCGTATGCTGCTTTTTAAGAAATGCTGCAGAGGGCAGTAGAATCAGATTTTGAGGAATAACTTCTTTTATAGCAAGCCCTCTGTAGTTTAGAGGAGTAATACAGAATGCAGATAGAATGTAGTGAAGAAGGGAAATGGTTTAAGTAATTCACATTTTGTTCTTGAGAGGTTTTCAGATTTTCTAGGGCTTAAAGCAGCTTTTAGGACTTGCTTGGACAGGGGCATCATTATCAAGAAGCAGCTTGCAGTGACCAGAAAGACAAATGTGTATCCCAAATTTTTAGAGGATGAGCATGTGACTAATATTTATCAAATGTCCCACTTTGGGTACTGTAGTAACTCAAGATGGTTTACCTTCTTGACAGAGAGGTGGGCTACTTCAGATTCAGGTTAAGGTACTGCATGCTTGCAATTACCACGAAATAATGGGTACTAGCTGTACTGATTTAAAGGTTAAGCATGAGGCAGGGCTTACAGCTTTTATTTGTTAGGGTGGAGCTTTGTCAGTTTGTATTTCATACATCTCGAGCACCAAAGAAATAGATTTGACCCAGGAGGTTCCCCCATTTAATACTGTGTGAAGTGAAACTGTATTTCAGTAACAGTGAAAATGGGTTGTTTTTTTTTTTTTTAATATTATTTCTTCAATTTGAGGTTTCCAAACTCCAGAAAAAAAAACACGGGATCAGGTTGAATTCTCTGTGATTCTGTGAATTTTTGATGTAATTGAAGCTGTACACTGCTGCCAAGGTTGACCACTAGATGGTGATACTATAACAGGATTTATTTCAATTCTAAAACTGAATTTAGTTTTCTCTCAGACCTTCAGATCGATGTTTTTTACTTTAACATTTGTTTTTGTTAAACAGCTTCAAGGAAGTGAAATCTGACATAGATGTCATACACTGCCAAACAAGTTTTTAAATTGTGGAGTGGAAGTTGGATTATTCTGTCAAGGAAAAAAAACTTTGAATGATAGATTATTACAAGCTTTAAAACAGTGGGTCATGACGTAATAGTAAGAATTATTACTCTTAAGATCTATTTAAGATAAGGTGTTTTTTTTTAAAATCTATCTTAAATCTCAGTATTTGTTTAAAAAGACCTGTGCATGAAAGGGAAAGTATTTTATTTATAGCTCTACATTTATGATGTAATGTGGCAATTCATTATTTAAGTGTAAGCCCTGATTGGGTTGTTAGTTATGTTATTATTAAGTTTGTGTATTCTGTTGGTATCTGGGGTGTTAGTACAGCAGCTTCAAAGAAAACGTGCAATTATTTGTAAACTACTAAATATATCTTGTACTGGGAAGGTACACCACGAGTAGTGTGATAAATATTCATCTTGATCCTGGGCTGTAATATAGTCATAATATTACAGTATTCACTGCAGTTCCATTATATCCCCAGTTCTCATTCCCTAGTTTGTACAAGGCTGGTTTTAGAGAATTTTCCAACTATTTGCTAAATTTATAAATGGTACTATGCTAT